CACTCACCACATTGAGCCACACTCACCACATTGAGCCACACTCACCACATTGAGCCACACTCACCACATTGAGCCACACTCACCACATTGAGCCACACTCACCACATTGAGCCACACTCACCACATTGAGCCACACTCACCACATTGAGCCACACTCACCACATTGAGCCACACTCACCACATTGAGCCACACTCACCACATTGAGCCACACTCACCACATTGAGCCACACTCACCACATTGAGCCACACTCACCACATTGAGCCACACTCACCACATTGAGCCACACTCACCACATTGAGCCACACTCACCACATTGAGCCACACTCACCACATTGAGCCACACTCACCACATTGAGCCACACTCACCACATTGAGCCACACTCACCACATTGAGCCACACTCACCACATTGAGCCACACTCACCACATTGAGCCACACTCACCACATTGAGGCACACTCACCACATTGAGGCACACTCACCACATTGAGGCACACTCACCACATTGAGCCACACTCACCACATTGAGCCACACTCACCACATTGAGCCACACTCACCACATTGAGCCACACTCACCACATTGAGCCACACTCACCACATTGAGCCACACTCACCACATTGAGCCACACTCACCACATTGAGCCACACTCACCACATTGAGCCACACTCACCACATTGAGCCACACTCACCACATTGAGCCACACTCACCACATTGAGCCACACTCACCACATTGAGCCACACTCACCACGTTGAGCCACACTCACCACATTGAGCCACACTCACCACATTGAGCCACACTCACCACATTGAGCCACACTCACCACATTGAGCCACACTCACCACATTGAGCCACACTCACCACATTGAGCCACACTCACCACATTGAGCCACACTCACCACATTGAGCCACACTCACCACATTGAGCCACACTCACCACATTGAGCCACACTCACCACGTTGAGCCACACTCACCACGTTGAGCCACACTCACCACGTTGAGCCACACTCACCACATTGAGCCACACTCACCACATTGAGCCACACTCACCACATTGAGCCACACTCACCACATTGAGCCACACTCACCACATTGAGCCACACTCACCACATTGAGCCACACTCACCACATTGAGCCACACTCACCACATTGAGCCACACTCACCACATTGAGCCACACTCACCACATTGAGCCACACTCACCACATTGAGCCACACTCACCACATTGAGCCACACTCACCACGTTGAGCCACACTCACCACGTTGAGCCACACTCACCACATTGAGCCACACTCACCACATTGAGCCACACTCACCACATTGAGCCACACTCACCACATTGAGCCACACTCACCACATTGAGCCACACTCACCACATTGAGCCACACTCACCACATTGAGCCACACTCACCACATTGAGCCACACTCACCACATTGAGCCACACTCACCACGTTGAGCCACACTCACCACATTGAGCCACACTCACCACATTGAGCCACACTCACCACATTGAGCCACACTCACCACATTGAGGCACACTCACCACATTGAGGCACACTCACCACATTGAGCCACACTCACCACATTGAGCCACACTCACCACATTGAGCCACACTCACCACGTTGAGCCACACTCACCACGTTGAGCCACACTCACCACGTTGAGCCACACTCACCACATTGAGCCACACTCACCACATTGAGCCACACTCACCACATTGAGCCACACTCACCACATTGAGCCACACTCACCACATTGAGCCACACTCACCACATTGAGCCACACTCACCACATTGAGCCACACTCACCACGTTGAGCCACACTCACCACATTGAGCCACACTCACCACATTGAGCCACACTCACCACGTTGAGCCACACTCACCACGTTGAGCCACACTCACCACGTTGAGCCACACTCACCACGTTGAGCCACACTCACCACATTGAGCCACACTCACCACATTGAGCCACACTCACCACATTGAGCCACACTCACCACATTGAGCCACACTCACCACATTGAGCCACACTCACCACATTGAGCCACACTCACCACATTGAGCCACACTCACCACATTGAGCCACACTCACCACATTGAGCCACACTCACCACATTGAGCCACACTCACCACATTGAGCCACACTCACCACGTTGAGCCACACTCACCACATTGAGCCACACTCACCACATTGAGGCACACTCACCACATTGAGGCACACTCACCACATTGAGGCACACTCACCACATTGAGGCACACTCACCACATTGAGCCACACTCACCACATTGAGCCACACTCACCACATTGAGCCACACTCACCACGTTGAGCCACACTCACCACGTTGAGCCACACTCACCACGTTGAGCCACACTCACCACATTGAGCCACACTCACCACATTGAGCCACACTCACCACATTGAGCCACACTCACCACATTGAGCCACACTCACCACATTGAGCCACACTCACCACATTGAGGCACACTCACCACATTGAGGCACACTCACCACATTGAGGCACACTCACCACATTGAGGCACACTCACCACATTGAGCCACACTCACCACATTGAGCCACACTCACCACATTGAGCCACACTCACCACATTGAGCCACACTCACCACATTGAGCCACACTCACCACATTGAGCCACACTCACCACGTTGAGCCACACTCACCACATTGAGCCACACTCACCACATTGAGCCACACTCACCACATTGAGCCACACTCACCACATTGAGCCACACTCACCACATTGAGCCACACTCACCACATTGAGCCACACTCACCACATTGAGCCACACTCACCACATTGAGCCACACTCACCACATTGAGCCACACTCACCACATTGAGCCACACTCACCACATTGAGCCACACTCACCACATTGAGCCACACTCACCACATTGAGCCACACTCACCACATTGAGCCACACTCACCACATTGAGCCACACTCACCACATTGAGCCACACTCACCACATTGAGCCACACTCACCACATTGAGCCACACTCACCACATTGAGCCACACTCACCACATTGAGCCACACTCACCACATTGAGCCACACTCACCACATTGAGCCACACTCACCACATTGAGCCACACTCACCACATTGAGCCACACTCACCACATTGAGCCACACTCACCACATTGAGCCACACTCACCACATTGAGCCACACTCACCACATTGAGCCACACTCACCACGTTGAGCCACACTCACCACATTGAGCCACACTCACCACATTGAGCCACACTCACCACATTGAGCCACACTCACCACGTTGAGCCACACTCACCACATTGAGCCACACTCACCACATTGAGCCACACTCACCACATTGAGCCACACTCACCACATTGAGCCACACTCACCACATTGAGCCACACTCACCACATTGAGCCACACTCACCACATTGAGCCACACTCACCACGTTGAGCCACACTCACCACATTGAGCCACACTCACCACATTGAGCCACACTCACCACATTGAGCCACACTCACCACATTGAGCCACACTCACCACATTGAGCCACACTCACCACATTGAGCCACACTCACCACATTGAGCCACACTCACCACATTGAGCCACACTCACCACATTGAGCCACACTCACCACATTGAGCCACACTCACCACATTGAGCCACACTCACCACATTGAGCCACACTCACCACATTGAGCCACACTCACCACATTGAGCCACACTCACCACATTGAGCCACACTCACCACATTGAGCCACACTCACCACATTGAGCCACACTCACCACATTGAGCCACACTCACCACATTGAGCCACACTCACCACATTGAGCCACACTCACCACATTGAGCCACACTCACCACATTGAGCCACACTCACCACATTGAGCCACACTCACCACATTGAGCCACACTCACCACATTGAGCCACACTCACCACATTGAGCCACACTCACCACATTGAGCCACACTCACCACATTGAGCCACACTCACCACATTGAGCCACACTCACCACATTGAGCCACACTCACCACATTGAGCCACACTCACCACATTGAGCCACACTCACCACATTGAGCCACACTCACCACATTGAGCCACACTCACCACATTGAGCCACACTCACCACATTGAGCCACACTCACCACATTGAGCCACACTCACCACATTGAGCCACACTCACCACATTGAGCCACACTCACCACATTGAGCCACACTCACCACATTGAGCCACACTCACCACATTGAGCCACACTCACCACATTGAGCCACACTCACCACATTGAGCCACACTCACCACATTGAGCCACACTCACCACATTGAGCCACACTCACCACGTTGAGCCACACTCACCACATTGAGCCACACTCACCACATTGAGCCACACTCACCACGTTGAGCCACACTCACCACGTTGAGCCACACTCACCACATTGAGCCACACTCACCACATTGAGCCACACTCACCACATTGAGCCACACTCACCACATTGAGCCACACTCACCACATTGAGCCACACTCACCACATTGAGCCACACTCACCACATTGAGCCACACTCACCACATTGAGCCACACTCACCACATTGAGCCACACTCACCACATTGAGCCACACTCACCACATTGAGCCACACTCACCACATTGAGCCACACTCACCACATTGAGCCACACTCACCACATTGAGCCACACTCACCACATTGAGCCACACTCACCACATTGAGCCACACTCACCACATTGAGCCACACTCACCACATTGAGCCACACTCACCACATTGAGCCACACTCACCACATTGAGCCACACTCACCACATTGAGCCACACTCACCACATTGAGCCACACTCACCACATTGAGCCACACTCACCACATTGAGCCACACTCACCACATTGAGCCACACTCACCACATTGAGCCACACTCACCACATTGAGCCACACTCACCACATTGAGCCACACTCACCACATTGAGCCACACTCACCACATTGAGCCACACTCACCACATTGAGCCACACTCACCACATTGAGCCACACTCACCACATTGTTATCAAACATGTCTTTGGTGCGGCAGAAGACGGTCCAGGAGCCGCCCTTCTCGCACTGCGGGTCCTCCCACTTGGGCACGATGCCCTCCTTGAATAGATGCATGTCCATCCTGGGGGGGAGAGTGGCTGCTGACGTCACATTGTTGTACAGGCTGTGAAGGGGAGGGAGGGGGGGTGAGAGGGGGAGGAGGAGTGGGAGGGAAAGGGGGGGCAGGGGGGGAAGGGGATGGAGGGGGAGTCGGAATGCGAGGAAGGAGAGGCCATGGATAAGATGGCAGGTGCGTGTCGACTGAGGGTCCTCCCACTTGGGCACGATGCCCTCCTTGAATAGATGCATGTCCATCCTGGGGGGGGAGAGTGGCTGCTGACGTCACATTGTTGTACAGACTGTGAGAGGGAAAGGGGAAAGGGCGAGGGGAGCAGGAGGGAAGGAGGGGGGAGAAACGGGGGGGGGGGGGGAAGAGGGAATGGAGGGGGACTTGGGGTTGAGGCAGGTTAGGTCATGGAGAAGGTTGCGGGAAAAAAAAATGTGGTGGTTGTGTCCAGTCTTGAGATCAGAGGGTGGGTAAGAGACTTGCAAGATCAGAAGAAAGAGGGTAGTTAGAGATGAAGCGGATTTCGGATCAAGTGTCAGATGAGTTTGAGAGAGAGGCACAGGTTGTGAAGGTAGAGACCAGGTATAGCAAGGAGGAAACAAGAATAGAAGTGTTTTGAACTTGTGTCCGGAGTGGAGACAAGGCGTACGGAGTGGAGACAAGGCGTACGGAGTGGAGACAAGGCGTACGGAGTGGAGAGAAGGCATGCGGAGTGGAGAGAAGGCATACGGGTACATGGTTTCAGCCCACCAACTCGCCCTCAATATCCAGACGAATCAAGCGTCGCACGGCAGGAAATCCTTGACGGTGCCGGGTGCCATGAAGAACACAGTCCCGGGTTTTGCTCGTGAAGGCATTCCCACACACGCTTCAAGGCACGAGTTGCCCTCCATATTTACAAGACTCACGCATGGCATCGCATCTCCGGACGACCCAGGCGTGGCATGGCCGGGCCGGCACCTCCGCACCTCCAGAAGCCCTTGGCGGTGCCCAAGGTGTGGACCTGCCGCATCGACGTGCCTCACCCGCCACTCTCGTGTCACACGTGCGTGGCGATGAGACAAGGCATGCCGGCACATGGCTGGAGTGAAGCACAGACTCGGCGTTCAACTGTGGCGTGGCATGTGGTAAGCGGGCTTCACCTCCAGAAGTCCCGCCCGCCACTCTTGCTGCACATGTGTGTGGCGTTGAGAGAAGACATTCCGGCCCGGCACATGGTTGACGCACTCAGACAAACAGCATACCCACTCTGCCTCAAAGTGTGCCACATGGCACATGCCACATGGCGCATGCCACATGCCACATGGCACATGGCACATGGCACATGGCACATGGCGGGTCGTCACGTCACCTCCAGAAGTCCTCGGCGGTGCCGAAGGTGTAGATCTGCCGCATGGACGTGCCCCACCCGCCACTCTTGCCGCGCTGGTGAGGGTTGTCAAACCACAGCGTCCACCGCTGCTGCAGCGGATGCTTCGTTACCACCGCCGCTGCTGGTGCTGCCGCTGCTCCGGCTGCTGCTCCTCCGGCTCCTCCCTCCTCTTTCTCTCCCTCTGCTGCAGCCGCCTCCCCCTTGGGCCCCCATGCTTCATCCGTGCCCTTCTCTCCTGTTGCTGCTGCTGCCGCGCTCACCTTGCTCTCTGCCTCGCCGCCCCCTTGCTCTCCCGCGCCTGGCCCTGTGGCGGGCTGTGCAGGCACGGCGGGCGGGGGTGCGGCGGGGGAAGGCGTGGGCGCGGGGTCAACCGTCATGGCTGTGGGGGAAGAGGGCGGTGCAGGGAGCGAGAGAGATCCAGATACGGGGAGAATGGGCTAGTATGTGCATCAAGACAATGGAGCGATTGAGAGAGAGCACAATTGCAAGGGACAGACGAGACACGTGAGCACGCCAACACATGACACTGCACGCACGATGTGGCTGTCTGTGAGAGCGAATGAGAGGGCGGAGAGTGAGAGGGCGGGAAATGAGAGGGCGGGAAATGAGAGGGCGGGGAATGAGAGGGCGGGAAATGAGAGGGCGGGAAATGAGAGGGCGGGGAATGAGAGGGCGGGGAATGAGAGGGCGGGGAATGAGAGGGCGAAGAGTGGGAGGGTGGGGAATGAGAGGGCGGGAAATGAGAGGGCGGGGAATGAGAGGGCGGGGAATGAGAGGGCGCGGAATGAGAGGGCGGGGAATGAGCGGACGGGGAAGTGAGAGGGCGGGGAGTGAGAGGGCGGGGAATGAGCGGAAGGCGAACGAGAGGGCGGGGAATGAGAGGGCGGGGAAAATGAGAGGGCGGGGAAAATGAGGGGGGGGAATGAGAGGGGGGGAAAATGAGAGGGCGGGGAATGAGAGGGCGCGGAATGAGAGGGCGGGGAATGAGCGGACGGGGAATTGAGAGGGCGGGGAGTGAGAGGGCGGGAAGTGAGAGGGCGGGGAGTGAGAGGGCGGGGAATGAGCGGGTGGGAAATGAGCAGAAGGCGAACGAGAGGGCGGGGAATGAGAGGGCGGCGAATGAGAGGGCAGGGAATGAGAGGAATGCAATTCAGCGCTTCGGTCGTTTGCTCTGACCCGCTGCCTTGAGAATCTCACAAGGCTCGAAGCAGGGACGCAGCGGTGGCGCAATGGCGATAGGCTAAGGCTGGACAGGGAGGCCCACCAACCTGGTAAGTCGCAGGGGAATGCGCTGTGCACCTACTTCAGCACGCGCGGGCTTCTGGCCGACTTGCGGAGTGGCGCGTCGTGGGAGGCAGATACAGCGGTTGCTGCGGCGGTCGTTGCGGAGGGAGGGGCTCGGTGCCAAGGCGCGGAATGCAGCTGGGGGCTGGGAATGCGGCAGCGCGGAATGCGGCTGGGGAGTCACGACGGTGCGTGGAGTGCCGCGCGAGGCTGGCGACGGCGGGGGGACGGGGGCCGTGCGACGCGCGCGATGGTGACCAGGAGGACAGTGGCGAGGGCGGCGCTGTGGCGAGAGCAAGTGAGGGCAGTGCTGTGGGGTGAGAAGGCGATGTGCCGACAAATGTGCTGGTCGACTGGAGGGAGGTTTGCATCGCTACAGAAGCTGTGGAGCAATCCACCTAGAACTGCTTCATTAATGAGTAGGATTCAAATTAGCCTTTTGTGAAAGTTCTACATGTATACATGAGCTCTCAAAAGTGGTGCAACAGAACGGATCAGGAAACGACTGGATTGTAAACGTTGAGAGGTTCACGTCAAAGTCTGAGATGAAATGGCCATTCTAACATTTTTCTTGCAAAATCTTGTGATGTAAAAGTTGCGCTCTTGCTTGAAACGGATCCAAATGCCAAATGCCCAGAAGGAGTCATACGTTTTTTAATTGCAATTTATGGAACCAATTATCGAACCCAGAGTTCTCTGACGCGTATGACGCCCACGTGTATTTTGCGGCTGACGTGACATGCGACACCACACACGAGCATCACCATGCTTGCCTAACCCGCTCTCCGATGCCATGCGACACCATGTGCGTTACGTTCGTTCGCAGTCGCTCGCCTCGTGTCCCTCGGCGACGACCTTCCGCCCCCCCGCCGCACTGCTTCTCGTCCTGTCGTTCGCCGTCGTCCTTGCGCTCGCCTTTGCCCGATGGCGCGCGCATTCTCCGCCAACGCTGCTGTTGCGGAGCCCGCGCTAGCCGGGTCGGGGGAGCAGCGCGCAGGCGTCACGCGCGGCGGTGAAACGGGCGGCGGTGCGAGCGGGGGGTTGCAACGCATGGCGGAACGACCAGTGCGGGGGAAGGGGTTTGAGGGAGAGGGGGAGGAGAGCAGAGGGGGGGTTGCGGTGACAGCGGAAGGGGCGAAAGTTGGGCGTGGGAATGGCGGCGTCGAGAATGCGGGCGTCGAGAATGCGGGCGTCGAGAATGCGGGCGTCGAGAATGCGGGCGGCGGCAAAGGTGGCGGTGGCGACGTGGCGAATGCAGCAGAGAGCAGCGCGAAGGAGGAACTTCGAGCGCGTCCGGCAGCAGCAGCAGCGGCGGCGGGAGGAGGAGGGGTGGCTAGGCCGCTGAGGCTGGTGGTGGTGCACGAGGCAGCGGCGGATGGGGCTGGTGAGACGCTCTCTCGTGCTCCCACTGCTGCATGTCGTGCGTGTGGGGTGCGTGTGAGGTCCCACATGCACTTACCCTCCAGACACCACACCCTGCACCACCCTCCCACACACACTCCCGTGTGTGCTACCCTCTCCCTTCTCACACCCCGTTGTGGGTGGCTGCTGCTGCTGCCACCCCTCTTTTCTCAACCCCTGCGCCCTGAGCCCTGCCTCACAGTGTGTTTGGTGTGGAGAGGTCACCGCTGGCCTACTACCTCGGCGCAGGCCACACTCGGCACCACCGTCGCTCCTCTTATTCTCTTCTCACACACCTCCGTGTGTGTGCCACCCTGCTCCCCCCTCACCCTGTCCGCCCTGCCCCGCAGTGTGTCTGGACGGGTCACCACCGGCCTACTACTTCCGCCCGGGCCATGCTGGTGGCGCCCACAGATGGTTCTTCCACTTCCAGGTGCCCTCCTCTTCCTCCCCTCTCCTGTACCCCCCTCCCCCCCACCTCCGCCGCTCCTCTCCCCTCCGCCTTCTTTCCCACTCCCCTCCTCTTTGCCCCTCCCGCTTTCTCTCCCTGTCCTCTCCTCTCTTTCAACTCTCCCACCCCTCCCTCCCCTCCTATGTCTCCCTGTCCCCACATTCCCCCCTGCCCCTTTCCAACGGCTGCTGGGCGTGCCATGCGTGCTGCATGCATGCAGCCTGGCCCTGATGCGCCTCCCATGCTGGGAGTTCATGGCACTGAACGTATTCCGCCAACTTGCGCTGCTGTCCTGTCCGTTACTCAAAAGTGGATTTTTGGAAACGAAGGCTGTATTGAATCCTCCCCGCTTTCAAGTCACTCCAACTTCCCAAGCATGCTTGCTTGTGCGCACATGGGGGAGGGGGGGACCATGGGCGTGGAGGGAGGGGTGGGGGCATGGGCGTGGAGTGTGTGGGGGGGCATGGGCGGGGAGATGGCAGGGCGGGGCGTGGTGCAGCAGCGGGGAGGAGTGTGGGCAGCGCAGCCTCACAGCGCTGGGGTCGTCCCGCCTGCTGCCTGCCACAATCGATGCTCAGGGCGTGTTCAGTGACGACCCCGCCATCAACCCAGGTGCATTGCTCCGCCACCTCATGTGTGTGTATGTGCCGTGCCGCTCATTGTTGCTGTGCCGCCGCCCGCCTCCCCAGGTGCAGCCCACTACCCCAGGTGCAGCCCACTACCCCAGGTGCAGCCCACTACCCCAGGTGCAGCCCACTACCCCAGGTGCAGCCCACTACCCCAGGTGCAGCCCACTACCCCAGGTGCGGTTCATTACCAACTGATTCCTTCTCTGACTAGCAACCATTTGCATGCACTGTTCTTGCACACATGCACACCATAACAAACTCACCCATACCCATCTGTTCCCCGTGCCTTAGATTCCTCTGCCTCGCCCGTTACTCTCACCACTCAATGCTCCCGAGTGGTTTGAGTGTGAGTTTGCGCACACACCTGGCTCTCCCCCACTGTGCCCCCACCTACTCCATTAATGTGCATGAGTGAACCCCCTGGCATGGATGGATGCACCATGGCATGTGTGAATGCACCATGGCATGTGTGAATGCACCCTGGCATGTGTGAATGCACCATGGCATGTGTGAATGCACCCTGGCATGTGTGAATGCACCATGGCATGTGTGAATGCACCATGGCATGTGTGAATGCACCATGGCATGTGTGAATGCACCATGGCATGTGTGAATGCACCATGGCATGTGTGAATGCACCATGGCATGTGTGAATGCACCATGGCATGTGTGAATGCACCATGGCATGTGTGAATGCACCATGGCATGTGTGAATGCACCATGGCATGGATGGATGTACGCATCATGCGTGGCAGGCATGCACGAGTGGAACATGGTGAAGCTCGCTTACTGTGATGGTGGGTCCTTTGCTGGCCACCGCACCCACCCTGTGCCCGTGCAGGTCAGTGCAGATCAGTGCAGGTCAGTGCAGGTCAGTGCGGTTCAGTGTGGATTAGTGCATGTCAGCAACTCCTGCCCTGCATTATATCCATTCCTCCATCCGTTCAAACAACCCGCCTGTGACCCTTCCTGGGCTTTTGCCTTCTCTCCCTCTCGTTCTTTAATTCATCTTCTGCTCTCGCTGTCCATCTCCCCTTCCACCGGCAGGGCGGCAGCATCTTCATTCGCGGGCGGGCCATTCGCGATGCCATCTTTGACCACCTGCACCACCGACTGGCTGATGCGCAGCAGGCAAGCTCTCTCCTATGCTCGTACCCTGAAGTAGACATGAGCAAATTTTCTAAGGCCTGTTCGGCTCGTCCCAACATGTTCGTGACCAAACCGAACCGAACATGTTATTTTAACAAATATGTTTGGCCGAACATGCTCGGAAGGGGGGGTAGGGAGGCAATGGTGGAGGAGCTGGCCCACTGAAATGAAAACACTCTCTCGAACCTCCAACACCCCATTTCCCCAACACATGTTCGGGCAAACCAAACACGTTCGGTTCGCCCCCTTCACATGTTCGTGCAGGGCGAACCAAGCATGTTTGGTGTTCACCCGTTGCTTACATCTACCCTGGAGTACATGTTTCTCCTGCCATACTGCACACACATGCACACACATGCACACATGCACACACGCGCACATACACACACGCGTGCGCCCGCGTGCACACACACACACACACACACACACGCACGCACGCACATGCACACGTGCACATGCACACACACACACACACACACACACACACACACACACACACATGCAGACCCCCACACACACACCCCCCCGCGCACGCACATGCACACGCACACGCACATGCACACGCACACGTACACACACCCACACACACCCATCCACATGCGGACCCACCTCTCCAACCCCACCCCCAATCCCAACCACACCATCTTTTCCACCCACAATTACTCACAAACCTGCACCCCCACGCCTAACCCCAACCGCACACCCACACACTCCCCTCTGCTGTGGTGGTGTCGGGCTACTCTGCAGGCGGACTGGCAGCACTCCCCCACTGACAAACCTGCACCCACACACCTTACCCGACCCTCACATTCGAATGCCTCCCCCCGTGCCAGCAGGTGGTGGTGTCGGGGTGCTCTGAAGGCGGGCTGGCAGCGCTGCTGCACTGCGACCACATCAGAGCCGCCTTCTTCCCCACCCTGCCCCTCTCTGCCTACGCCTGCCTGCCCGATGCTGCCATCTTCCTTGACAGGTGCCTCCCTTCCCTCCCCTGCATGCACCCACATCACATGCTCCTCCCCCGCCTTCTCAGGTACCCCCCACCTTCTCAGGTACCCCCCACGTTCCAAGTTACTTTCCTTCAAGCCACCAACAACACACTGCCAGAGGTTCAATTTAATATCTCTACGAGTGTTTTTACTGTAGTAGTTGCTTCGAAAAAAGGCCTACTTTTCGAGAATGCTGTGCGTTTTCTCATGTTATGGATCGCTCTGTGAGTGAGTGATGATCCGTGGTGTCTCACGTACGACTACCGCCTACCTTCCTCTTCTGTCCTCTTTCCCTTGCTTGTTTCTGCTGCCCCCTCCAGACACGACTTGGGTGGGCGGTCAACAGCAAGGGAGCTCTTTCAGGCAGTCTTCCGCTTCCATGTCACGCCCTGCCATTCCCCTCGCCCCCTCCTGTTCCCCTCCCACCCTCCTGTTCCCCTCCCACCCTCCTGTTCCCCTCCCACCCTCCTGTTCCCCTCCCACCCTCCTGTTCCCCTCCCACCCTCCTGTTCCCCTCGCACCCTCCTGTTCCCCTCGCACCCTCCTGTTCCCCTCGCACCCTCTTTTTCTGCTCGCACCTCCTTCCCCCTGTCACATCACAACCTCTTGCCCCGCACACAAACAATATCTTCACACCACTTTTCTGTCTCAGCATTTCTTCCCTTCATCATGTAATGTTCCTCGTTCTGTTACTAAACCCCTTTTCTAATCGATGCCAGTTGTCTGTGTATGTTCGCTCCCCTCTCCACCCTATCCCCTCCACCCTGTCCACTTGCCTCTCTCTTCTTTGCCCCCTCCCCCGCCCCGCCTCTGCCATAAGCCCACGCTCCGTGTGTGTATGAACAATGGTTATTAACGTGGAGTTGGGGTGGGGTTTGGTGCGGTGCAGCACATGGCAGGGGGAGTGAGCGAGCACTGCATCAGCGCCCGCCCATCGCACATGCAGTACGAGGTGAGAGGGCATGTGTGTTCGAGGTGAGAGGGCATGCGTTTTGCATGTGGAAGGAGATGAGAGGGCATGCCTCTCACCTGTGGTGCGAGGAGCATGCCTCTCACCTGTGGTGCGAAGAGCATGCCTTTCACCTGTGGTGCGAGGAGCATGCCTTTCACCTGTGGTGCGAGGAGCATGCCTTTCACCTGTGGTGCGAGGAGCATGCCTTTCACCTGTGGTGCGAGGAGCATGCCTCTCACCTGTAGTGCGAAGAGCATGCCTCTCACCTGTGGTGCGAGGAGCATGCCTCTCACAATCAGCAGTTGCTCTCCGCACTGCTGTCTTTGGCCATGGAACATGTCCCAGTTGCTTTGTGAAAGTGCAGTGCATGCTGGTGACTCAAGCTAACTCAAGGGTTTTCTGATGTGTGCGTGCGTGCGTGCGTGCGTGTGTGTGTGTGTGTGCATGTGTGCTGCAGTGCATCTTTGCTCGCCATGCCATGGCGTATGTGAGCAGCAGAGTGTTTATGGTCAACAGCAACTACGACTCCTGGAATGTACGCACCCACCGTCCTCCAACCCACCCCAACCACTCTCCCATCTTTTCTCTTCCCTCTTTTCCCACCCTTAGCTGGTTTTGCTCGATGCGTATTTCTGAGCCAATGTACCTCTGCCGTTGGCCTGCCATACCTGCCCCCCTCGTCTCGTCTGCTGTTGGCCTGCCATACCTGCCCCCCTCGTCTCGTCTGCTGTTGGCCTGCCATACCTGCCCCCCTCGTCTCGTCTGCTGTTGGCCTGCCATACCTGCCCCCCTCGTCTTGTCTGCTGTTGGCCTGCCATACCTGCCCCCCTCGTCTCGTCTGCCGTTGGCCTGCCATACCTGCCCCCCTCGTCTCGTCTGCCGTTGGCCTGCCATACCTGCCCCCCTCGTCTCGTCTGCCATTGGTCTGCAATACCTGCTCCCCTCGTCTGCCATTGGTCTGCCATATCTGCCCCCCTCGTCTGCCAACGCTGAAGAGTAACAAACAACCCTCCTCCTGCTTCCTCTCACCTCTCCTTTCCCAAAATCCCGCCTCCATGATTGTAGTAACTAGAGTGTGTTTATGGCTGCACCCACGTACATACACACGCCCTTCTCTCTGCGCCCTTCTCTCTGCCACAGCTGCTGGCTCTGCTAGCCAATGAGGATGCGGACCCTTCTGGTGACGTGCTTCGGAACTGCCTGTACCGAGTGCGCTCGTGCACAGCGGCCCAGCTGGCCATCATTCAAGGTGTGTGCGAGAATGCGACTGCACCCTTTTTGCAGCAGCCATTCCTCTGCACTCTTTTTGCAGCAGCTCCACTCACACCTTGCTAAACCCACTCGTCCATGCCTCCTACACCCATTCTCTGCTGCAAACTCCAGTTTTCCGCCAGGCGTTGCTGGAGTCATGGCAGCCGTTCCTGGCAGCAAGTGACCCACACGGGGTGTTCTTCTACTCCTGCTTCGCCCACTGCGCCACCTACCACAACGACCTCTGGTCACAGCTCACTGTCGCCAATCACGTGAGTCACTCTTTGAGGCGCCTCAACAATAGACTTTTGTTTAGCCCACTGCGCCACGTACCACAATTACCTCTGGTCGCACCTCACTGTCGCCAATCATGTGCGTAACTTTGTCATTTCCTTTTCATGGTTAACTCGCTGTACTATACTTTCCAGCTGAGTGGTTGTGCTGAGTTTCTGGTGACAGACACTGGCGCAGGCCTTCACTCGCTGGCTTCATGAAGACGATAATGATGGGGGAGAGGCCAAATCGGTTGACTGTGCGTATCCTTGTAACGAATGCAATATTGACCGGCCTGAGTTTAAAGAGCCAGCTGTGTTCTTCTGAGTGGCGCCATACCGTAGTTTACCCAGCTTTGGTTCTCATTCGTTCATTGCTGAAATTTCCGCTACCATGCAAAGTAGTTTGGCTGTGCTACTATTGCATCCGTCGATGACAGCATTTGGAATAAGTTTGAATAAGTTTCCAATCAGAGTCCACAACAAAACGCAAGCACAAAATCCCCTAATGATTACACTGTGTACAATACAATACAGTCACTACAAGCACATGAAGACAGCACACGCCCACAAAGCAAAGCCCACTGACAAAGCAAACGAAGCCAGAAAGTTGATAGCATGAAGCCTTGCAGCAGCGTTGGTTGTGAAAAGGCCGCAGGCAAGGAAGGCTTGATGTGCCGAGCATGCTGGGTTCGAGAATGGCGATGCTGCTACCCCGCCTAGCCCATCAGCCCCGTTGATGGTGATCCTCACACTGCACCGAAAAGAGGAGGGTGGAGGTACAGGGAGGGCAACGCACAATGGGGAAAAATAGTTTATTGGGCTAGATATGTTCGTTGTAGATAGTGAGAGTGGTATAGGAGATGGCAGAATGGTGTGCGTGCAATTGATGAGAAGCCGATAATATTCTACAATAACACATCAAGGCAGTGACATCGCGGTGATGCATGTGAGTGCGTGTGAAACATGGCGTGTGTGATGCTGAATGAGCATCAGCATTGGCCTTCCCACTGAACATCACACACCACACCACAGCACACACCTCAGGAGTCCCAGCGGCACAGTGTGTGCGAGGGGCCTTGGCATGTGCATTGCGCTAGCATGATGGGCAAGCAAGTGTCACAACTCGGAAGTGACAGTGGGGCCGTCGTGCAAACTTACCCTGGCAAAACACTGACGCTGGCTTCTGGGAGAGCGTCCTGGGAGCAGCAGCAGCGGGGACGTGGGGGCGGCAGGGAAGCACAGGGAACAGTCAGAACTGAGACACGTGGCAGAACAACAGAAACAAACCAACTGTTCCTCCAAAGAAACAACAGAAACAGAGAGGGCCACTGATCCGCAACAAAAGATACCCTAACCCTATTGGTCCAAGTGCCGCCAAAGAAAGGCGGCAATACCGTTGAAGCGGCAGGTGCAAGCTCACCACTTGGTGGTAGTGTTGGATGAAGGGCGCAGTTTCGACACGAAGGAAACTCCCACGCAGCTTGGGAAGGAATAGAAGGACATGTTGAAGCACGCGGGCTGGCCAGGATAAATGCCCCACGTGATCTCGGCGTCATATGTGCCACTCGGCAACGTCGAATTCACGCACTGAGTATCGAAGGCATAAGGGTTGGAAATGTACGATTTAGAGATAAATCGCACTGTCGAGTCGCCTTGAAGCGCGTCGCCGGGTTTCGCGAGGAGCGCGAGAGCAACGAGGGCGACCGCGAGGACTGCGGCGAGGCCAGCTTGAAGGGCGGAACGGGGCCCGCGTGCCATGGCGACTGAGAGAAACGGAATGATTGGCGAGAGGAAGCTCAGCTGCACGCTGCACCGTGGTGAGCACGTGATGCGGACCGCAATTTTAATGTAGCAGCGAGGAGCTGACTGTGGGGCTGCTGCTGCGGTGGCGGATTGAAGGAAAGCGTCAGCGATGTATAAGGAGGCGAGGGCAAGGAAGGGAACTCGTGTGAATGGCGAGATATGTGAACGGAGGGAGGCGGTGGGGGTTATGTACTAGTAGAGAAAGCTATCAAGAAAGGTAGAAGGGACGAGCAAGGCCCGGTTTTTTTGCTGACGGGCCAAGGAATTGACGTTGATGTTTGGACGATGCGGGTTTCCGCGTTCGGCGAACGCGACATCTCTCATTCCGGATGGTTCCATCCCAAAAATCACGAGTTCCAGGGGCAACGACAACACGGTTGCCAATGAGCATATGAGAGAACGAGCGCGAACAGGGCCTGCTGATTTGCTGACAGACTCATGGCGGATTAGTTGATGCCGATGATTGGATCATGAACGCGACACCTCCCATTGCTGCATGGTTATTGGGCGACTACGACGCTGTGCACTTGTCAGGCTATTGCGCAACTAACTACTACCATGGACTGGGAAAGGATCGAGTAAAGACATTCCTGATTGGGTGAGGGTGAACGCGACGGTGGATCGCGTGAGGGTGAACGCGGTCACTGCTGGCGATTGGCGAAATTTCTGTGTTGCGATGGCGATCGTGTTTCCTGGTTTCGCTTTCGTCGTTGGCCAAGCTTCCACCAATCGCGAGTCAGTTGCTAGGAAAAGGTTCGGGAAAATCTGCTACAAGTAACCATAATGTGACTAATAACTTAAATTGTTATGAGTTGTGAAAGAGAAGAGTGCGCAGAATTCAATAACGCGGAAGTGATTACAACGTCTGAGCAAACAGCGAGGCCTAGGACTAATATAGCAATGCTAGCTAGGCCGAGGTCGCGGGGTCGCGAGATGGTTGGGTGCAGGTTCGGGGTTGGAAAACCCGAAGGCGACGCGGTGGTGATTCGGAATGCGAGGTCGCCGAGCCAGGCCAGGTACGCATCCACAATCGGATGTCCTTGTAACGAATCAGGTGCGACGTACGTGTCGTCCTCGCTCGTGCGATCCTTCAAGCGAAGTAGGAACGTGATCTTGCGGCTGACGGCAGTCAGCTACACGCGATGATTTAAAATCTTCCAAGGCACGAGCGTGGGTTCAGCCACGGGACGTTTGGTCGGCGCGATGGTTGGCCGAGCAACAGCTGGCGATTGCGGTTGGTCATAGTGGCGCAGCAGGCTGACGTGGAACGCGTCATGTATCTTCCTGTCGTTGGGCAACAACAGTTCGCGGTGACATGTGTCACCATCTGGATGATTCGAAAAGGTCCGACGTATCTTGGCCGTAGTTTCGCTGGCTATGGTAGTCGGAGGTTTTTTGTGTCGAGGACGACTTGCCCAGTACGAAAGGGTAAATCCCGTCGGTGCCTGTCCGCATTCCGGCTTGCTGTAGTATTAGCTTTACGGATAGAGCCAGCTGCCTTTTTGCGGGCTGTCTGTAGTTCCGTGACAAACTGCTGCAATCGTGGTACCGGGTTGTCCAGGGTCGTTGATGAGGGTACCACGGGGTCTATCTCGTAATTCAGGTAGAAGGGCGATTGCTTAGTCTTGGCCAAAGGGGCGTTGTTATACGCGAACTCCAGCATCGGCAGCAAATCCTCCCACTTGCACAGGTCCGGTCAGTTGGTGCGAATCAGCTGCTCCATTGTTTGATTCTTCCGTCCTGTCTGTCCGTCGGTTTGCGGGTGGTACGATGATGAAAGCTGCAGGCGGGTGCCGTACTGTGCCCATGTCTCCTGCCAGAATTTCGACATGAATTTCGGGTCTCGATCGCTGATGATCGCCGAAGGTAACCCGAGTATGCGTGCGATGGTCGAGATGAAGAGTTTTGCCGTATCTTCAGCTTTGATCGTCGTACGTCATGGTGCGAAATGCGCCATCTTCGTCAGTCGGTCAACGACGACCATCACAGAGTCTTTGCCACTCGCGCCAGCTGGAAGCCCCATGACGAAATCCATCGTCACTTGTTGCCACGGTCGTTCGGGTGGCTCGAGGGGTTGCAGTAGTCCAGCCGGCCTTTGTCGCGACGACTTCATTGCTTGGCAGGTCGGGCAAGTTGTCATGTAGCGCTGCAAGTCGGTTAGCATGTCCAGCCAATAGTAGTTCCGCTGTAGCAGCTTCAGTGTTTTGTCGATGCCGAAATGCCCGAAAAGATTGGAGTCGTGTACCTCCTGCGTCAGCAACTCCCGTAAAGGCTGGTAGGCGGGCACCCAAATCCGGTTCGTACATGATTTTATGTGATAATTGCTGTGTTGCGTAATAGTCTGTTGGTGCCTGTTCTTGAAAAACCTGTCGATTCTGTAGCCGTGGGTGAATAGTCCGGTAAGCAACGGGTTGGTGTGGGCAATTAGTACCACCGCGGTCTGCATGGATGGTCGGGTGAGGGCGTCAGCAATGTTGTTGGCGCCTTTCTTGTACGTAATGTTGTACCAAAAATTGGACTCGAGGTAGTCCAACCACCGGATTTGTCGCGGGTTGAGTGTCGGTTGCGTGCGCATGTACTGTAGCGATTTGTGGTCGGTTTTGATCGTCACGTCGGCCCCCGTGAGGTAGCAGCGCCAGGTGCGAAATGCGTGGACGATGGCCGGCATTTCTTTGTCGTGGACCGGGTACTTGCGCTCGGGTGGCTGCATCTTGCGTGATTCGTAGGCGATGGGTTGCAGCCCTTTGCCGAAGTCCTGTAGCAGGACGGCGCCGACAGAGAAATCGCTGGCGTCCGTGACGACTTCGAACGGTCGAGATGGGTCGGCGAGGCGGAGTACCGGGGGTGAACTCAAATTGTTTTTGAGCGTGTCAAAGGCGGACTACTCTTTCTCCCCCCACTGAAAATCCGTGTCCTTGTGCAGCAAGTCGGTCAGCGGCTTGGTTGTCCCTACCATATTAGGTACAAAACGGCGAACGTAGTTAACAAATCCAAAAAAACTCTGCAATTTTGGGATATTTTTGGCGGCTTCCACTTTGCGATGGTGTCCACTTTATGAGGGTGAATTTTAATACCGTCACCGGAAACCACGTGCCCCAAAAATTCCAACTCCGGTTTTAGGAACTCGCACTTAGACCCCTTCGTATTTAGACGATTCTCCTAAGCACCGGAACACCTCCTCCAAATCCCGTAAATGCTCTTTCTGAATCTTGCTATACACCAGGATGTCATCGAGATACACGATGACCTTTTTGTCCAGCATTTCCCAAAAGATCCCGTTCATTGTCAGCTGGAACGTCAAAGGCACGTTGGTCAGTCCGAACGGCATCACTGTATATTCGTAACTGTCGTAGCGTGTGCGAATAGCTGTCTTCGGGCAGTCATCGGCGAACACGCGAATCTGGTGGTAGCCTCCTCGCATGTCAATCTTCGAAGAGAAGCGAGCTCCACAAAGCTGATCCAGCAGATCGTCCGCTTGCGGGATCGGGTAACGTGATTTGATTGTGACCCAATTCAGCGCCCAATAATCAATGCACATGCGTAGGCCCCCGTCCTTCTTCGGCGTGAACAGTAATGGTGCCGCAAATGGCGTCGTGCTCGGCCGCATGAATCACTTGGCTAGGAGGTAATCCAGTTGGCTTCGCAGCCCGTCGAGCTCTGGCTGGCTGAGCCGCCATTGTGTCCGTACAGTAGGTTGCGCGCCGGGTTCCAGCTGGATCCGATGGTCTTCTAGGCGTTGAGGGGGGAGGCCATCCGGTAGGTCATCCGCGAAAAATTCGGGATACTTCCGAATGATGCTCGGCAACTCCTCAGGGACTGCCGCGCAGGGCGTGTCGATGTCCGTGATTTTTTCAGAGGCTGCAACCTCGTACAGATGCACTGCATAGGCTTGAGCTCCACTGTTGATCGCCCGCCGCATGTTGATGCGTTGACATGTGTCGTCACCGGCTCTAGGTCCGTCCATTTCGGAAGAGTCGTCAGCTCCGCATGTCCTCGCACGTCACACGCTCTTGTCGTCCAGTCGATCGTCGGATTCAATCGTTGCAGCCAGTCTCGTCCCAGCAACACATCGCAGCCGTCCAAAGTCGTCGCCAGCATCTTCATGCTGAACCCGAAATTGTAGCCACACTTGATCCGAAGTTTTCGCGCTTCATCTCAGATGGCCAGCGGTGTCCCGTCCACCAACCTTGCATCGATCTCCGGCAGACACCTGGTCAGCTTCACCCCTATTTTTTTTTGCCGTTGCCAGGTTGACGAGGCTGTGACTCGCCCCACCGTCAACGAATATATATATATATTTTTTATAACCGTTAACCCTACCCACCACTAGCATAGGGTAGTCCACGTGTTCACCCACGTTATTCGTCCGATTGCGGTTGATAGCTCTGATCGGTACCACGGCCCGGTATGGATGGTGATTGTCGGGCGACAGGGTCTCGTCAATAGGACGCCTGTCTGCTACTGACTCGTATCTTGTACCCTTCTCCGTCGTTCATCCTCCCCTGCTTAAGCTTCGGGCAGTCTTTTCTCAGGTGGCCCAGCTGGTTGCATGCAAAGCACGGCCCGATGGCTCCGCTTGGCGCATCCACGCCGTTGATCGTGGGCTGCTAAGTTGATCCACGAAATCGAGGGCCCTCCCGGGAGCTCGATCTCGCCCACTGCATCAGTGCATCGTTGACTCGGCTTCTTGGACGGCGTCGTTAAAGCTGCGTGGCCGCGTTCGTCGGACCTCGTACTGTATCTCGTATTTCAGGCCCGCCACGTAGCGATCCAACCGCTCCGCATCGCTCATGTCGTCCACTTGGTCCGCCAAGTTGCAGAATGTGCTGGTGTAGTCTTGGACCGAAGTCAGCTGCTTCCAGGCACGCAGCTTCATGCGAGCAATGTCCGAGGCGGATATGTGCTCGAACCTGGTTCGCAGGGTGGCGCCCCACTCCTTCCATGTGCGTATCGCA